ATACAACCATATATATAGAACTATTATACATAATACTTGTATTATGGCAGTAATGCAACTATATCTAACTCTGACATCTGAGATTAATATATATAGTATTGACGTTCATATGACTCCTCCCTCATCCTCCAGGTGGATCCAGCAAAGCTCCGTCATGCACTGAAGACCATCCTCTTCAACCTGTTCCTCATCTCGGGGCCCATGGTTGTGGCAGTTTACATCCTGATGAGCTGGAGAGGGAACCCCTGTGGCCCCGAGCTGCCCACCTTCCACTGGGCCCTGACGGAAATGGCCATCTTCTCCCTCATAGAGGAAATTATGTTCTACTACTCACACAGGTACAGATCATTCATGTGTATCACGTCTTTGCTTAAGAAAGGTTTATGTAGTCATTGAAAAGTGGAGGCATGTTCCAAGAATTCACCTGACTTTCAACTGCGCTCGTTTGAGATTCACTTGTCACTGGAACACTACACATTACTGCCACCTAGTGGTAAACTTTTGCTGGGAAGCTGCGTTTAAAGAGTTAAGATGAACAGTGGGCTGCAATGATATTACCCTGTGTATATTACGTTGTGTGGGTTTTACAGTGAAAAATCTCAAATGGCACATATTTTACAGCCATTTGGAGATTATGCCTGTACATATTTCTACTAAAACCTCTTTAACTTGCTCTGCTTCACTTAAACAGAATAACATTACACATAATGTTCAGATGTGATATATATTGCATGAGGTTTTGGGTGCAACAACTGCACAATTTCATAGGAGATATTCACTCTAAATGAACTTTTAGGCAGATGTGGAGTCTTCCTTTATTCTGTGTTCCGTCTTCATTTATTCTGACTCAGTGAAATCTAGATTGATGCTTACACCTAGTAATGTTACCTTTATATAGAAACCAAGATTCTTCATATAGACCCTTTACTTGCAGAGATATACATAATTTGAACTGGGGCATGTTAAAGGGGGAGGTATTAAAAGATTAAAAATGTGTTTTTATTCTGATTGTCAACTTTTCTCTCAGGCTCTTCCATCATCCTGGCTTCTACAAGCATTATCACAAACAGCACCACGAGTGGACCGCTCCCATCGGCATCGTCTGCATTTACGCTCATCCCCTGGAGCACATGGCGAGTCATCCCCCTCTCTGCCTCTCTAGATTTCAACATTATAATATTTCTTTCACCCTCAATGTGATATCAGTCTTAGTTTTTGAGTCTACATTATCTCATCTCCTGATAAAAACTCACACCAGCTGCAACTGTCACAAATCAATCAAATGCATTTCATTTTCACTTCCGGAATTTTGAAAAAAATCTGATCCTGAAAAACAATCTGAGCTCACTGCTCTTGATTCAGCTGTGGAAGGTTTGATTTTGAGGGTTATTCTGGATTTTTCTTCGTCCATTAAACATGTTTGCTCTTCCTCTCTGGTGGTAGATCTCTAACATGCTGCCGGTGGTGCTCGGACCCTTGATCCTGGGCTCCCACGTGGCCACCACCACCCTCTGGTACTGCCTGGTCCTGTGGAGCACCACCATCTCCCACTGTGGATACCACCTCCCCTTCCTGCCCTCCCCGGAGTTCCACGACTTCCACCACCTCAAGTGAGTCCCCCTGCCCACTCATCCAGGAGTGGGATTTAACAGAATCTTGCAACATGAAACATATGTACTCTTAGATGTGTTGGGACATAAAATCCTTGTAAAAACTAGAATGACATTCAGAAGAACATATACCAAGGTCAGGTCCAGCAGTCCCCTTAAATTCAATCAAGCTGCACAAAATGTTACACACTTATTGAATCAGTCCTCCAAATGTGCCTGGTTTTTTTCCATCAAGATCCATGAACTGTTCTCTAGGAAACTGATGAAAATGTCAAAAATGCGATCAAAATCTCGCAACTTTAAAAAAAAGTGAAAGAACTTCCTGAATCCGCCCATTTGGGCCAAAATTTAATGAGTTCTTTGTTAGTCCATATCCTTTCTTTCCACCAAGTTTCGTGAAAATCCACTGAATGGTTTTTGATTAACCCTGCTTACAAACAAACCATCAAACCAACAAACAGGGGCAAAAACATAATCTTCTTAGCAGAGGTATTAGGATACCAGATTTTTAAATGTGATTATTAATCTTTGTGTAAACAGTCTTCGTCTTTAACCTCTGTCCTCTCATCCCTCCTGGGTCCAGGTTCAACCAGAATTTCGGCGTGCTCGGTGTGCTTGACCGGCTCCATGGCACTGACAGCAAATTCCGTCAGACCAAGCAGTACGAACGCCACACCCTGCTCGCCAGCCTCACCCCGCTGAACGAGAGCATCCCTGACTCCCCCAAGAAGGCTCAGTGATGACCCGTGACCCCTGACCTCTAAAACCTCAGGCCTAGGCCTCACCAAGTTTGGGAATGTCACCGTGACACGTGGAGATAAAATTTCCAAATTGATCCTAAAATGACGATTAAGATTTTGATCCAGAAAAGCTGTTGATCAGTGATCAGACAGTGAATGTCTGCTCAGACTGTGGTTATCTGTGGTTTTATTTTTACAAGATGAAATATTGTTTTCGCACTTAACCAGATGTGCAGGTTTCATGCTGAAGTTCAGCCTCCTCTGTGGGTGAGGAAGTTTATAAGCCTCTCATGATTGGTTCACTGTTGGTGAAGTCACAGAGAAGTCAGTAGTTCAGGGTTGTTATCTGTAACATCCTATAAGTGTAAAGGTTTAAAGAAGCTCTTAATAGATGAAGTTATACATGATAAAAATAGATTGTTAGATTTTTTACTTTCATGTGTAATTTTGTTTTTCTTCTGGATATTTTAGTCCTTAGATATTTGTATTTTCATGATTATTTTAAGATTTCATAAAAAAATTTAGACAAATCTTTTTAAAACAATAACATAGAATTGTTTTTGTATAGCACCAAATCATAACATACAGTATCTCAAGGCACTTTAAATGTTTAGGACTCAAAAATGTGAAAGTTTGTTTTTAAGTTACAGTTCCTAATTTAGGTTGAAAGAATAATTTGGGGATGTGAGTGAAAACAAATAAGTCACTCTAGTTTAATTTTTACCTTGTACTGAAACACACACAGTTTTTAGTCTGTCCTGCCCTCCATGTTTAAACTAAACTGTGAGGTATTTAAAATATAGTCAGAAGAAATGCTTTCTATCGATTCACAGCTTCTAGCATTCATGATTAACAAAACAGCGCTTCAGATAACACATTTGAATTCATAAATAATTTCGTCAGGAACAGATTCTGGTTGTAACGTGAAGTAAAACTCTGTTGTAGTTATAAAACAGATCATAAATCTCTTTTACTATTTTAAGTCTGGTTTACAAACATCTCACCAGTTCAAACTCATGTTCACTTGCTGCTCAGAGAGGGTTTGGGTTTATGCACTTTTCTTTTCCATGGGGCTTAAACATACCCCTGAGGGTTAAATGTGTCTTAATGTATTACAGAGGACCTCATTAATATTTGTATCACAAGAACTGATTGTTGGGAAAAAAATGTTTAATTAATAAAATAATGAAGATCTTCCTTACAGTGGTTGATTTGTTTTGAAGATGTTTTACTGGACTATTTGATAGTGTTAAAACTTTTGATAAAGATGAAGAAAACACTAACCTTCACCCTAAGAAAAAAGGATTAACCCTAACCCTAGTTACAACCCCCTAACCCTGATTACAACCCCAGACCTAGTAACAACTCTAACCCTAAACCTAATTACAACCCTAACTCTAATTACAAACCTAACCTTAGTTACAACCCTAACCCTAGTAACCTAGTAACAACCCTAACCTACCCCCAACCCTAACCCTAATTACAAACCTAACCTTAGTTACAACCCTTACCCTAATAGTAATATCAATAATCACAACCCTAACCCTAACCCTTATTTCAGCCCTAACCCTAACCCTGGCTGCAACCCTAACCCTAACCCTATTCACCCTAAGGTGAATAACTCTGCGCTGCTTGCTAGAAACGTGCTGAAATTTGGTGTGGGTGCGTGGCTGTCTCCCCTTTAGTATGTGTGAAATGCCCACGTCTCTACGACTTTCAGAAAAAAAGTTATTCCAAAATATTGTGTACTTTTTGATTGAGATTTGGTGCTTTGACCCTTTCCAGAGGTCATAGAACCTCGGGGATGGTACCAATGGATCGGGCATCCCCACATTAGTTCAGATGGAACCCACTTCCAAGTCTCTATGACCTTCAGAACAAAGGTTATTCAAGAATATCTTGATCTCCGATGGGTTTTCCTCCCCAACCCTAACCCTGGCTGCAACCCTAACCCTAACCCTCATTTCAGCCCTAACCCTATTCACCCTAAGGTGAATTACTCTGCGCTGCTTACTCAAAATGTGCTGAAATTTGGAAAAAAAGTTATTCCAAAATATTGTGTACTTTTTGGCTGAGATTTGGTGGTTTGACCCCTTCCAGAGATCGTAAAAGCTTGGGGATGGTACCAATGGAAGTTATTCAAGAATATCTTGATCTCCAATGGTTTTTCATCCTTAACCCTGGTCACAACCCTAACCCTAGTCACAACCCTAACCCTAACACTAGTCACAACTCTAACCCTTATCCTAACAACCTTAAATCTAATTACAACCCTGACACTAACAACCCTAAACCTAGTTACAACCCTAATCGTAGTAACCCTAACCTTAATTACAGCCCTAACAGTAAATACAAGCTTATCCCTAGATACAAACTTAAACCTAATTATTACCTCAGCCCTAAAGCAAATCCTAACCCACAAACTACCCTAAAGAGGAGAGTACCTGTGAATATGTCCTTACATTCCCTCATTCCAGTCTTCACAAGATTTAAGTACAAGTTTACACACATGTATACACACAAAGAAATAAACAGTCAACAGTCATGTTTGAGGTTTTTTTGTCCGTTTTGTGGTTTTTTTTCTTTATTAAAGGAAAGCATAATTACTACAAATTACAAATAACACTAATAGCGAATCACATCAGCCTACAAAGCAGATATTATGAATATTAAATGATATTATACAAGATCTCATTCAAGTATTTTACATTTTTCCATTTTATATATTTTTTTGTTTTTTTCCTCGTTTTCATCTTTTTTTCCTCATGACAAGCCTAGGATATTGTAATGTAATGAACTATTTTAATGGTTCATATACAGTTATTTCTTATTCATATGGCTTTATGGAATTTCGTCCTGTTTTCAGTCTCCGGTCATCATAACAAGCCATATTCCTCTCAGCAACGTCACAAACCCCACTCAGGTTCTTTCTCTTTTTTCTTGTTTTCTGCGGCTCTCTCTCTCTTCCCTGTGTCCATCATTCATCCCTCCTGTGTCCGGCCAACTGGCTACGTCAATGAGAAACTGCTGAATGGAGGCTGCAGTGCCCCCTACAGTTTAGTTTGGACATCTAACAGCAGTTCTAAGCTGACAGTTCCAAAAACACTTGAAACGCCCAAATGTCTGATGGCAGGTGATGATCACATTAGAGGGAGGGATCACTTGACTTTCCCAGGAGGAAGGCACCCCCTTCTGGCAGAACGTCATGTCTGCACCCACCCACCAGCTCCCGGCTTTCGCTGGTTTTGGGAAATTCACAGAGTTTTGCTTTCCTCAACAGTTTGTAGCTTTTTCTGTCTTCAAACCTCCAGTAAACAACTTGATGCATCAACTGCAAGTTTCTGAAACTGATCCAAATCTCCCTGAAGTTAAACCAACATGACATTGAAAGTAAAAGAAAATAGTAAATATAGCTTTGCTTTGCATTTTCATGTTTCCAACAATTTGGGGTTTAGAGGAAGAAAGTGAAGAAACACTGACAAGACGATGTGATATCCACCTCCAATCTGCTGGAACATCAACCAACAGGATAAATGATGATAGGACCTTGACTTAAAAAATAACAATAACAGGCACAATGTGTCCAACGAAGATTCAACTAAATTGACAGGCTTTGTCTAGTTTAATTCCTCAAAAGCATTTGAAGATAATGTGACTGTACTCTGCAGCAAACATATGTTATGTCAATGAAAAATCGGTCAATTCATCTGCATCACGATAAACACTTGTATTAAGACTCAATATTCTCCTCCAAATTATTTTTTAACCATTTTAAACTTTGCTGACACTGTCAAAAACCTGGAGGCTGAAGATTTGATAATTCTTTGGGTCACGTTAACAGTTGGTTGAAATGTCGCTGTTATTTTGGCTAAAACAGCAAATGATCTGATTTAACATGATAAAACTTTGAACAGGTTTTGTTTTTAACAGACACACGTCGACAACCTGATGTCAACTTTCCCTTTTGTGATGTGAACCATGTTCCTCATTCTGAAATCCACAGATGTTTTTTTTTTTAATTAGCCACAAAACTCACCTTTATCATAGCAACGCTAGAAACACTGCAAATTGAAATTAAAAAGCATTAAAAGATATTATGAGAACATAAAAAAAAAAAAAGTTAGAGTACGTACACGTGTAAGGCAAATATATAATCTGTTCTATAAACAATAAAACAAGTAGCAGGGAGCTGTAATCATTTCTCTTCATCTGTCAAATTCACATTTACATTAATGGAGGAAAAGAAAATCAGCATTGATATCGTCAGTACTCGAGGTGGATACAGATTGAATGATCCACTCAGGACTGCAGGTAGAGAGATGACGGAACAGAACAGGGTGTGAGCCAACAATACAGTCTTTGAGTTTTTGTCCACAACGAGGCAAGACATCGAGCTGTGTGTGTATTTTTCATCTTGCTCAGGCTGCTACATCTGTACCTGTATTCATTCGTGCCTGTAACTGACGTGTGAACATGTGTGTGAAACAGTAGAGGCCCAGTCAGCCTCCTGAAGCAGTGGGTCAGCCGAGCGAACGACAGTTGAAGTTTGAAGCCAAATGTTTGAACCTCGTTAGCATCTCCATCCAGAGCTTTAGCACAGAGAGCGGGAGCCCTTCCTCATAACCATCGTTTCTTCAAGTAATTCAGATGGATGATTCCAGTCCTGTAGTGTCACTGATGGTCAGCTGATGGATGGATGTCAAGCGGATGGATTAACGGATGGATGCAGCTCGTCTGACGGGGAAGGTGAAGGGGCTCAGAGAGTCAGGAAGCACCCAAAGAGAGATCTGTAGTGGGGGGAGGGGGCGACAAACTTCAACCTGACTGAAGTGTTTCAGCACAAAAAGCCACGACTTGCTAACACAGGGAAGATTTACTGGACTTGTAACAGACCCAATGACACTTGGAAGACAGCTGAGAAAAGGTGACAGTGGGGGGGACTGAGGCAGGGGGATGCGGTTTGGTAGGAACAGCACCACTTAGTGGCATCTGCTGCATACTGTGACCAGAAGTATGGGTGAATTCAATGCTGTACAATCAACAATAAGGTGGCGGGCACAAGTTCGAAGCGGTAAAACCATTAAAATAAGGCAACTTTCAACGATCATGTCCATACTGAGGGGGCGCTACAAGTCTTTTTTTTCTCTCTTTCTTTTTATCATTTAGCTCTTAAATGTTTCTCCCCTCAGTGTCCAGCCATAAAGTAAAACAAATATTTCTAATTTTCAGCCCTAAGCTGAGCGCTCGCTCTGGGCTCTGCAGATGAAAATGTCAGTCGCTTGGTTCAAACCACTTTGGTCCGGTCGGACGTCAGGAGCAGCGCAGCCTCCAGCGAGTCGACTGTGGGACTTTTCAGATGCTCAGTCTGGTTCAAACTATTTCCAATCCCACCACATGCCGAAGAAATAATAATCATTAATCTGAGATCTGGGCAAGGAATCAAAAATCTTTCAGCCAGCGTGACGATCAAAGAGGGGTTCCAGTGATGGAGAGGGGGAGGTCAACATGAAAAAAATAAATTCCAGGATAGTAAATCATTGCTAAAACATCCACCGCGTGGACCAGCAATGATGTGAAAAAAAGAAAGCCTGATATCTCATCCATTCTTTGCCTCAATAAAAAAATGTCCTGAAAAAACTTAGAACTCATGACCAAAGAGATAATTTTCAATATTTTCTTATTTCTCTCTCAATGAAAAAAAAATCTCAAGTTTGAATGGAGGGCTGGACACCCCTCCCCCCTCCCCGTTGCACAGAGAGAACCGGCGACTTCCAGACGTGGTAGAGTTGATCCATGCGAGCCGGTGCGTTTGTGGCATTACTTCAGCGTCTTGGTATCCGGTGCGGGGTCAGCGGCAGTGGCGGGGGTTTTCTGACTGGTGGGTTTGGCATCCTCCCTGGCTGCAGGGCCCTGGGCGGTGGGGGCAGGGCTGGGGCCTGAGCTGGCCTGGCTGTGGGGCCGACTGGTGGGCTGGGAGGGGTGCCGGCGGCGACCGTCCCCGCTGGACGAGTGTCTTCTGCGGCCTCCTTCCTCCATAGGCGGCTAGATGCATAAAAAAGCAGGGTGGAATTTAAATGAGGGAACAGATTGTGACATAACCTTCAGTTATTATGAACCATCACATCTGTGTTGTTAAGAAAATGGAAGCAGCAACTTGTTCTTTTAAAGAAATAACATGAAACAAAGTTTATGTCTTTGAGGTTGCGTGATCAGGTCAGAATATCAAGTGGTGACTTCAAGGTTGAATTTTTAAGATTAATTTAAATTAATTTTTAATTTATGCTACATTTGATCTGTAGATAACTTTCTTAAAGAAACACAACCTTCTACTTTAAATGAGTTTACAGAGGAACAGAACTTCAAACATTTCCTATTTAAACAATTAAACCAACCTTTTCAGGGTCAGAGATCTATACATTTAAATAAACCTTTACAAAAATATTGTACTTACATCAATCCTAAAATCTTCCAGACGTTTAAACTTGCTCAGACACTCCTGCAGCTTGGGATCGATCTCCATGGTTTTGGCTTTGGCGTATTTGAGGAAGGCCCAGAACTTCTCCAGTCCATAAAGCTGACCTGTAAACAGGAGACAGATACAATAAGCAGGAGATAAAAGTGAAAAACTCTGACATCCTGTGGTGAAAATAAGCCTTTAGTCTGTCTCATCTTTTTATCCTCTGTGGTTTTTTATGTGTGTAATCACTGCCGTTTTTTAATCAACAAATAAATTCATGGATTCATTTATGAGGAAGGAAACAGATCGAGATGTTTTATGAAGAACACATTTCATCTGATCTGACCACACTGATTAACTCACCAGCCTCGTAGTCTTTCATGGTCTCCTCTTGGAAATCCTTAAAAATATCTGGCCTGAATTTCTTCTCTAGACCATAACTGTAGTACCTGAAGAGGCACTCCAAACCGTACCTGCAACATGTAACGGAGGAGGCAGAAAATCAGAAATTAATCCACTGGAGGTCTCTTAAATCTGACCAACAAAGCAACAAGTAAATAACTAACACAGCATAGGGCAGATAAGTTGAAAAAAGGTTGTGCTATTGAGGAGATGGTGGTTCTTACCTGTATCCTTCCTTTCCATCCTCGACCACCAGCTGCCTGAACTCCTCGTACATCTTCCTGTTGAAATGATCCCGCAGGAAAAATGACCAGAAACGGAAGAGTGTGTTCATTTCCTGCGATTGGCCGATTCCCAGTCGCTTTCGCTCTGTGATTAGTCGAGAGGAGAAGGGGCAAAGTGGACAAGGTTATTTAAAAATACATAAACAATATCAATGGGCAAAAACAGAAGGAAAGATCTAGAATCAGTTAAATATTAAAATAAGGATTTTTTCAGATATTTGAGGATAGAATAAAATAAAGATACAATACAGGAGAAGGAGGATAATGCGTTTGTTTGTTTACCATTTAGGCAGCGCCGGCGGTATTTGTGGTAAACGTGTTGCGTGAAGCCGTTCTCCTTGAGCAGCTCATGTGACGGGTGCTGGAACTTGGGGAGGGACTGAGGCGTGCACCCAATGTTACCCAGGGCAGGAGTGCCCTCTGATGGGCTGGCGTTAGAGCTGAGAGGGAGAGAGGTGGAGGAGAAGGAGGACAACCACATTAAGTTTTAGAACTACTAAAGCTGTAAAGTAGGTCCCGAAACTGAGCCTGATATATGGGACAGAGACAACATAAAGGCAATTTTAACCATGAAAGAATCCCAATGCAAAAATTAAAAGACCACAAGTACAGTTAAGTCTGCTCACAAACATTCAGTTAATTAAGCAAATGAAGAAGAGGCCCAGACCCTCTCCTGCCAGACCCAAGGTCAGCACAGAGAAGGTGGAGTTCAAATCAAACTCGTCACTCACTTGGACTTCAGAGTCTCAAACCTGCAAAGTTTGTTCTTTCTTAATAGATTTATAGGGGCTGTGCAGAAACATTAAGAAATCTTTAACACTTATGGTACCACCTTAAATAAACACCTATCAAACTAATTATATCCTGACTCATACTGGTAAACTATCAAGTCACAAATCCAGGCCATCCTTATAATTGGTACGTTTAATTGTTGCACATTTATACACACAAACCCTCCAAAAAAGAAACAAAAATAGACATATTTTCTTGGCAGCTTCACTTGGTGAAATCCCAATGTTTTCCAACAAACAACAAATTTGGTAGTTATGGGGATTTAAGAGAAACATTAGAGAGTCCAGAGCAGTGGTCCTCACCTGACTGAGGCCGTACGTGAGCGGTGTTCTCTGGAGTCCATCACCCAGCCAACGTGACACTCCATGGGCGGGTTGGAGCTGTGTCGGGTCTTCCTCTTCCTGGGCGTCTGAAAAAAGACAGATAGAAAATTGATTCAAGATCATTTGAAAGTAAGTGAACGGTCAAAGCTACAAATAGCTAGTGTTGCTATTATCCTCTAAAACATCCGGTGCTGCACCACATGAAGTCACTTTCCCATGCAAATCAATCTGATTTCCCTATCACCTGGCAACCATCTTACCTTGGCATCAACAGGCCGACTTTCCTTCACCACTGGGTAGAAGCGCGGCGTCATGGTCGAGTCCTTTCGGTGAGGGGTGCGAGGCGTGCGTGGCGTCCGGGCACTGCGGTAGTTGGGTGAGTCAGGCACAGTAGTCGGGAGAGAGCGAGCTATGGAGGAGGGCTCAGGGGCACCAAAGAGTTTGTTTGCCAAAGCATCTGTGGGGACTGAAGAGAGAAGAAGTGTCACAAAAATAAAAAATAAGACAGAAACAACTTCCAGCAGGTTATTAAAAGATTCTCCAGAACTGATCACATTTCACGGCTCCTCAAACTGAATCTTGCATGAATTTGTTTCTTTTGTGCCTTGTGTGTTCTTACTCTGCTGAGGTCGTGGTGGGCCTGGTGGGACTTCCTGGTTGGGGTCGACAGGGGGTTCGGGGGTCAGGCAGTCAAACTCTTCGCGGCTGATCAGGTGGACCTTCTTGAAGTTCTCCACCTCTTGCTGTAGACGGTAGAATTAGCATTAATGTGACGAGCGAAAACATCTTTCTCTTGCTACAAATCTAAGAGGTCAAGGGCGAAGTTTAATGGTGAAATCTGTTAAGTGACCATTCCTGTAG